GTTGTAGATGCATATTTTTTACAACTACAAAATGTAGTAGTGAGGAAGAATTACAGGGCAATAAACCTTTCCACTTCTAGGTTAAAACAGGGGTAGAAAAACATGGAAACAAAAGCCCTACAGATACACATGGCACAATGAAATATACATGTAAGTAATAAAGGGATAGAAAATAAATGAGCTGTTTTGTATTAATACACAAAATGTTCAAGTGAATTGTTATGAACCTATAAATCTTGTTGAAACAAAGAAAGTAAGAGATAGTAAATCTTGATTTTTAAGAACAATTGATATCATTCTGTGTACTTTTTCAGTAATTGTTGGTGTAATTTAGTGTCTCAGTATTATAATTAACAACTCTAGTTATCTGGGACAAGAGAAAGATGTGTGAATATTGAAATATCTGGAATACATGTTCAGTTAAGAAATCTTTGCTGTCACTTAACAAGAAATTGAATATTGAAAGTTTGCCTAAGAGGGGAATTTTTTTTTTTGCAGTGCAGTATATATGAACTAGAAAGAAGAAGCAATTTTGTTTGTCTTGAAAAGAATGTTGTAGAGATATAGCTAATGTCTAAAATTATTGTTGTAGAGATATAGCTAATGTCTAAAATTATTGTTGTAGAGATATAGCTAATGTCTAAAATTATTGTTGTAGAGATATAGCTAATGTCTAAAATTATTGTTGTAGAGATGTAGCTAATGTCTAAAATTATTGTGGTAGAGATGTAGCTAATGTCTAAAATTATTGTTGTAGAGATACATCTCTACCACAATAATTTTAGACATTAGCTACATCTCTACAACAATAATTTTAGACATTAGCTACATCTCTACAACAATAATTTTAGACATTAGCTATATCTCTACAACAATAATTTTAGACATTAGCTACAGCTAATGTCTAAAATTATTGTTGTAGAGATACAGCTAATGTCTAAAATTATTGTTGTAGAGATGTAGCTAATGTCAAAAATTATTGTTGTAGAGATACAGCTAATGTCTAAAATTGTTGTTGTAGAGATATAGCTAATGTCTAAAATCATTGTTGTAGACATAGTTAATGTCTAAAATCATTGTCAGTTCCATAAACAATAACACACAAACCTTCCATAATTATAAGCAAATTAATATATCTATTTTCATGCAAGGCTACACAAAGGGCTATCTGCCCATAGTTGACCCTAAGTTTGAGCTGGTAGAATAGAGGAAAGGCATCTAAACAACAGCATCTGCCACCAAGTGTTGTACTAGTCTTGTTTGACCAAATAGTGAGATTTGGATATCACTCTTAGGGCTCAAAGAACAGAGAGCAATCTTGAATTCATAGTCCATGCAGGCTAAACAATAGAATATACATATCTTATATCAATATACACAATACTTAAAGTTCAAAGCACTTAAATATATATTTTTTTACTATTTTATAGAAAAGATTAGAACCATGCTACAACTTAAAGCTACTGAAAAGGCATTAATAATACTACCTGCTGGTACACAGATACAGAGTCTTGTATGAAAAGCCTGATATCATTTGATATTTCCTCTTCACTGTTGTGCAGAATCATTACAGTTATGTTTAAAAGTTGTCATTAGTTATATTCAACCACTATTTAATTCCACATTTTTCTAAAGATCACTGCAAACTGAATGATGAAGAGTTTAGCCATTTCTTTCCTCTTTTAATTTTTATTCTATTTTTCCTCCCATTTTCTTATTATATTCATTATAAAGTTTTTTCGACATATCTATTATGAATTCATTTTACTTTACTTATTTTTGTGTTTTGTTCATCCCCTCCCTTTTTTTCTAAATTTCTCTAATAGTACATGCACCATCTGGTACAAAAAGGACTCTCCCTTTCTTCTTAGATCTGTTGAAAGACAAGAAATATTTCATGACTGATTGCAGGTAAGCAATACTTTGACTTAAATTTTGTAATAAAATTTTGAGTTTTCAAAGATAAATAAATGAATCCAGTCAATCTCAATTAGTTTAGCTATACCAACACAGTTTTTCTTTAAAACAAGTGTAAGTTAATAATACTGTACTTGGTATCCGAGGATGTCTGGGAAATAAGGAACCTCATCCCACCACACTTCGAGTGACTGATCAGAGGTTGCCATAGCCTGGACATTAGTGGGTGCAGAAGGGCCATCTCCTTGAGTGTCAACAATCAAACGGCTACTCCAGGGTCCAGGACCTACTAAGGTATATGCTCGCACCCTAAACACGTATTTAGTATTCTCATCCAATGAGCTGGAATTAAAAGGTACAACAAGACCATGAATACTCAGAGCAACTGTAAAAATAACACACTGTTAATTTCCAAATCTATCTCACATTATCCAAAGAAAACTAACACAATGTTTTCTGCACTGATCTCACATCACCTGAAGAAAAATTATTTTTATTCAGATGTTAAAATAATGTGTTATTTTTATTTGGATGTTAAAACCACCAATGTATTATTTTCATTAGGATATTAAAATCATCAATGTGTTATTCTTCCTTAGATAATGAAAAGTAGATGTTGATATCAGCAAATGTTTCAACAAAATATAACATACTTGTTTACTTTGTATTTGTAATTATTTTTTAAAGAATTCATATAGTTAAGATTTTAACTTTTTATTCCAATTTCAAATAGTATTGTTTGCAAGCTATTAAAGATAAAAGTTTTTCAAGTAATATGTCTCCTTTAAAGAAACTTTTTTCTGAGATGTTTCACCATGGATGTTGAAATCATCAGTGTGTTATTTTTTATTTAGATGTTAAAATAATCAGTGTGCTATTTTTATTTAGATGTTAAAATAATCAGTGTGTTATTTTTATTCAGATGTTAAAACTATCAATGTGTTATTTTTATTAGGATGTTGAACTAATCAATGTGTTATTTTTATTCAGATGTTAAAATAATGTGTTATTTTTATTTGGATGTTAAAACCACCAATGTAACACTCACTAGAAGTGTCTATAGGTAAAAGTTGCTAGAAATGTTTACATGTAACATTCTCTAGAAGTGTCTATAGGTAATAGCTGCTAGAAATGCTTACAAGTAACATTCACCAGAAGTGTCTATATGTAATAGCTGTTAGGAGTGTTTACAAGTAACACTCACTAGAAGTGTCTATAGGTAAAAGTTGCTAGAAATGTTTACATGTAACATTTTCTAGAAGTGTCTATAGGTAATAGCTGCTAGAAATGCTTACAAGTAACAGTCACTAGAAGTGTTTTCAAGTAATAGTCACAGCTGCTAGAAGTGCTTACATATAACAGTTGCTAAAAGTGTTTCCAGGTAATAATTGCTGGACATTTTTCAGCTACATTAAAGTTTGTGTTTTGTTGTCATAATTTTACAGCTTAATACTGATTTTTTTATTGTGAAAAATGTGAAATATTAATGTGTTAATCATAAAATTATTAGTTGTTTGTTTTATGTGAAAGCTATTTAATTATAGTCAATGCTCTTGTATACATCTATTAGGAATGTGTTATTACCATTCTGACAATGTTTAAAATACTAAACACTTCTAGTGAATGTTACTTGTAAACACTCCTAACAGCTATTACGTATAGACACTTCTAGTGAATGTTACTGTAAGCATTTCTAGCAGCTATTACCTATAGACACTTCTAGTGAATGTTACTTGTAAACACTCCTAGCAGCTATTACCTATAAATACTTTTAGTGGCTGTTACTTGTAAACACTTCAAGTGACTGTCGTGTGAGAATACTTTCAGTGGCTGTAAAATAAAAACAGTTCTTGGAACTGTTACCTGAAAACACTTCTAATAGCTGTTATATTTTTTTCTTTAGTTGTGTCCTCAGAAGCTTTGTGGAAGAGAATGCCATACTGTATGACTCGACCATTACTGTACTGGGACAAAGGTGGATTCCATCGAATCACTAGAGTAGTAGGGCTTTGAAGGTAGTGGGTGATGTTCTGTGGTGGGGCTGTTGGCACTGATAGTTGGAAAAACCAAGGTTTTTTACATATGATTAACATTGGCCGTAAAGTAATAACATACAAATTTTTATTGGTAGTAGTAATAAAATGACATAAGACTAATCATTAAAGTAGATATTTGATGTACTTATGAAAAAGTTTTATGCAAAAATAAATTTCTTACAATCTTAATAACCATGAAATGACTAAATTGACTGTATCTGTGATCTGCCCACTATGGGTACTGAAACCCAATTTTTAGCATTGAAAGCCCGCAGTCTTACCACTGAGCCACTGGGGGGCTATTTATGTAAGACAAAAGTTTGTTAGGAAACTTAATCTTCTTTTGTTCTACTTTCATGAATAGTGAAAAAAAAAAGATTATATTTTCTTTATATACATTGATTACAGTTTAAAAGAGATCTTTTTTTAACCTAAATATTCTACATTATAGTATGCTTTTGTTTTGACACAGTAATGTTTTATAATCTTATTAATACAATGTCTAAACTTTAACTTCTGTTTTTGTTAGAAAAGGAAAGTTAAGTGTTATAATTTCAATTTTATTTTTACTCAACTCACTGTGATCAATTACATGATCTACTACTGAATATAGTGAGTTCTTCATTACATTCATGAATCTCACAAAAGACTAAATGGACAGAAGCTTGACATTTTTACCTCCTTCAGGAGTTTCCATATGAACTATTGCTTCTTGACCCCATCCAAGAGAATTACGGCCAGCAAGCCGAAACTCGTAAGTGGCTCCTCTATCTGCAACATAGAAATACAAATAACATGCTAACATTAAAGCTTATAAAATATGTAACTTATTTGACTAGAAATTAATTCTAAACTTATATTTTCAAAATATGACATTCACATTTTTGGTAGACATATTTTCACACCTGAAACTTTAATGCTAAAGCTTTAAATATAAGATTGGCATGGGAGGTTCTAAACTTAAATTTCTACTCTTAGGAAATAATTGATTTTGCTTCGTTTCTCTTTTTAAATTTTCTAATAAGAGTTTACTTATAAAATCATAGTACTATTTATAGCCATTTGAGTCTCAGCATTTAATTTCGTAATGTAGTTCTGAGAAACTATAGGACCAGCACTTTGGTAAAATTAGTAACTCAAATCTTAAGTCATATTTAGTAAATTATTCCCCCTAGAATAAAGTTTACAGCCCAGCAGAGTGACTCATAACCACAATATATAGAGCTGTTTCTATTACACAAACTAAAATATTGGTTGCAGTTAATAGATTATGTTTACATACTAAGAAAAAAAAAGTATGACGAAGAAGTATGAGAAGTCTTACCAAGACTATCTATAGTGGTATGCTGGTCATGAGGATTGATTACTTTCTTCTCACTGTGGATTGCACCCTGTTTCTTGTAATGCAGTCTATATCCTAAGAGATCTCCATAGATGTATCTAGGATGATCCCACGAAACCTCTACTTTTAACCGAGGATTCTCTGAGATGACTCTTATGTTCAGCTCAGGTTTGGTTGGAACTGTTAAAGTGTAAAAAACATCAAGCTTCTTATCTACAACATTTATAGATAAAAGATGGTCCCAAATTATGGACCTATTGTACATGTAACAAACTTAAGATCATTCAGTTAGCTTTTCAGAATTTCTACATTTTGGTTGTAAGTCTATTAAGAAGACTAGCTTGCTGGTTTGCCAGTTCTTCTGAACAACAAATAGGTTAATTCAAGTAAAACAAATAAATAAATAATAATTTGAAAAATTCTAACCCTAATTTTGATGTGTTGTACCATATATAAAATTGAGAAAAAAAATTACATTTCCCCAACTTAATCCATTTTACAATGAAATGGGTGTTGTTCAAACAATTTCCTGATCTAAAAACCATCTTAACCATTATTATGTATATTGTATTCCAGCCAGGTGAAGAACTCTGGTATTGTGCAAGAGAGTCTCTTGTTGGTAATGGATATAACAGGTATGTTATAGTTGATATATTATTACACACTCTTCTTTACTTATACTCAGAAGATCTTATAACTGATAACATGTGTAAAACCATGTAAGCATAGTAAAATTTCATTCATTATTCTGTAAATAACTGAATTGGGTAAAAGCTGTGGTTCTTAGGTTAAACTAGTCTTAAACTAGTCTAAACTTTATAACTATTTTTGTTTTTGTATATATATATATATATATATATATACACACACATATATTTAAATTTTCAGTAACATTTCAAATCTGACACACTCTTAACCCAAAAATAAGAACTCTACATGAGCTTACTAAACATTTATAATAATTTATATAATCATGGGAATATAAGTAACATGCAAAATGCTAGACAAAAAATATACTGTACTTAGCAAATTTGTATGTATGCTTAAAAAAAAACCATTACAGATGCTGTAACCAATGCTCTTCTAAACTGGTAGATGTTATATCAATTGTATATACACGTATGAATTCGAAGAAAACAGCAAAGCAAAAATGTATCTATAAAAAGCAACAATACATACATATATATACATTCTTAATGTTAATTATGATGATTTGTTTCCTTTATTTCATTGTCCTTTTTAAATGCATAGATCTCTGCTCCTATAACCTTTAGTAAATATGGAAGTGTTACCAGTCAACTGTCTCACCTCCTCCTCTTGTCTTTGCTGTTCTTGGATGACTACGTGTTCCATCACCTTTCCGAGTGACAGCAGCCACCTGTACAGCATAAGTTGTATCTGGCTGAAGCCCTGTAACATTATAGGCTTCTGCTTCTTCATTAGCTACATCATACCTGATGGGTTCTCCAACCAAGTCATTGTTTTTATCCTTTTCTTGGATGTGAATCTGATAACCTCTGATTAATCCATTTCTATCTTTATTAGCTGGAGGTTTCCACTGAACTTGAAGACTGGTGCTATTAACAGGCTCCACTTTCACATTCCTGGGTTCCCCCGGCACTACATGCAAAAATCAAAACTGGTAGGCTCATTTGATGTAGTAAAACTTAAATAACTCTGTAGCTTTTAGCCATACAATAACCACAACACAGAAAGTTTGAATAAGTTCTACAATAGAGCAGTATTATATTTTCACAGAGAGCTAGTTTCACCAAGTTAACTAAAATACCAAGTAACCAAACTTTCAGTACATGAGTTTGGAATCAGTTTGGAAATATACCATTATTACATTTTCACTGAGAGTCAGTTTTTGTGAGTTAACTAAAATATCAAGAAACCACACTTCTACTACAAGTTTTGAATCAGTTCTGAAATATGCCATTATTACATTTTCACTGAGAGTCAGTTTTTGTGAGTTAACTAAAATATCAAGAAACCACACTTCTACTACAAGTTTTGAATCAGTTCTGAAATATACCATTATTACATTTTCACTGAGAGTCAGTTTTTGTGAGTTAACTAAAATATCAAGAAACCACACTTCTAGTACAAGTTTTGAATCAGTTTTGAAATATACTATTATTACATTTTCATTGAGAGTCAGTTTTTGTGTTAATGAATATACTAAGTGAACAAAAGGTAAAAAAAATTCAGTACACAAATTTTGAAACAATTCTGAAATATAGCATTATTACACATTCATTGAGACTCACTTTCTGTGAGTTAATTTAAATATCATGCAACTAGAAAGTAACAAACTTTCAGAACACAAGTTTTCTTTCCTAATTTAAGTATCTACAGTAGTTGTTCTAGGAGAACCATAATGTAGTATTGTGATTTTACCAGAGTGAAACAATTTACTCAATATTTCCACATTGTTACTAGTAACAAAACTAATACCCAGCAGCTAAAACACATAAAGCTTATGACAAAAATACAATTTCTCATATAAAAATTGTATACTGAATCTTTCTCTATTCTAACTACACCTCGGAAAAACATTGAGAATTTCAAGTATATGTATTACTATAGTTAGTTTTTATTGTAAAATGAAATTCTATTATAGTAGCATTTAATACCTTAAAGTTCTTTAATTGGATGATACTGTTCTATTTATATTAGGGATTCTTGATTGTAATAACAGAAATACAAAACAACATATTAATGCATTAATTTAAAACTAGTGCAAATACAAATATCAGTGCTAGGAATCTATCATTAAGAATATAAGAACAAATTTTTTGTTTCCACACATCTTTAGACAAAACACGTTTTGTTTTTAATTCACAGATATTAAAAATACTAACAAAATGGCAGGTAAAGAACCAGATGTGATTTTTTCCATAAGCTGAGATATTTAGATATTTTTAAACCAAGACATTTCTATAACTATTTTTTAAAGTCTGATTTTCAGGTATATAACTTAAAGCATTTTGATATATTTTACCTCCCCTGACACCCTAGTGTTTACATATATTTCAAGTTACAGCTCTTCCTGAATTTTACCTGCTTTTTGCATAATGTAATTTCCTTTCCTTTCTGAGGTTGATTTATTTAGACTAGTAGTATGTTGCAATATTTCTCTAGAAAATATGTTAAAGAACATTGAACAAACTACATAACACACTCAACACACTTTCAACATACTAATAACAAGTGTGTTCTATTATGAAGTTCACCTTGTTGATAACTGAAACATCTGGCAAGAAAAAAAAAGAAGGAACAGTTAGAGTAGGACATGTAAGAAAGAGAGAAGTAGTTAATCCTTGCAAAACAGTTTGATTCCAATGCACAGAGTTGGGAAGAGAAGATAGGCTTGAGACAACTGCACATGACATAAACATTTCTTACACAGCTTTCAACATTAAGGTTAGTGGAAGAACCTTAAGTAGTGTATATCTAGAATCTTTGGTTCACATTCTACCTACCATCCTCATCTGTCTGGACAATTAGTGGTGCAGAAAGTGGACCATCGCCAACAACAGTACCAGCAAGAACCCAAATATGGTACTTTGTCCACTTCTCAAGTCCATCAATGATAAAAGAACGTTCATCGGGACCTGTCTGTATCTGACGTGCCTTTTGGGGGTCATCGCTAGTGCTGGCCTTCAAGTATTTGATTTTATAGTAGGTGATTTGACCATTCTGCTGATCCAAAGGAGGGGGTTTCCAGGTGATAAGGAGGGATCGGGAACTTACTGCACTACCATGGATTTCTTGGGGAGGAGCACCCGGCACTATGGGTGGATGCATTGGGAGGGGTGAATGGTGATGGGCAGTGACCAAGGGATGCAAAATGGCAATCCAACGAAAATGTTTGAAAGAAAAAAAACAAAACAAAAAAAACAGCTTAATTTCACCTTGGACTTTTAAAGAACATATGGTCATAGCCATCAGTATATCATTACTGATTTGATTTTGTAAATACTATTAATTGTAATCTTTTAGTTCAAAAATTATCTTTATAATATTAATTGAACAATTGCATAATTTAAACATTCATAACATTTTATAGCAAATCTATTCATTAGGAATAAAACATTCAATCCAAGAGAAAATGACTACAAAGCAAATAAATGATAAAAACTAAACAAAAATAAACAAAATGGGTGCAAGTAGTAATGCAATGCTTTTAAACAATGACAAATAATTATGGGGAAAAATGAATGGAATGTTTCATCTATAAGTGTGTTTATAGATAAAGTAATGTGTGACATCTAAAGGACAAACTAAATAACACCTGAGACTTAAAAAGATTTGTTCTATATTACTACTGCAATAAACATGATGTAATTGATCAACTATTGTTTTTCTTATCTACATCAACTCCAAAGTAAATAATACTTGTACTTAGTCTACAATTAAAGAAATCTAGACTGCTAAAGCACAAAGATATTTGCCACATTATAATACATTTCCTCCTAAGTCCTGAGGACCCAGGTTTGGTTCTCAGTAGGGTAACTCGTGTTTAGCACTAGCACTGCATATTTGGCAGCTAGGTTTTCAAAAAAGCTTTATGTTGTTGTTAAGTCTATTTAGTTGATGTAACTTCTCAGCTTATTATGTATATACAGATGGTGTTTAGTTGATGTAACTTCTCAGTTTATTATATATATACAGATGGTGTTTAGTTGATGTAACTTCTCAGTTTATTATGCATATACAGATGGTGTTTAGTTGATGTAACTTCTCAGCTTATTATGTCTATACAGGTGGTTAAGTATGATTTCCTTCAGAAAACTTAACCCTCCGATAGCTTAAAATCTACACATCAAGATATTTTTTTAATACATTGACATGATTTCCTCTACTGTACAACATGTTAACTTATGCATCAAATTTAGTGCAATGTTTATGTCTGAAATTAATTATTGTGCTTTTGCTGGAAGGAATCACTAGCATTCCTTAATTCTAAAAGGAATTAATTCTTAATTAAGTTGGACTTACAATATTGGTCAGTTTTTACATTGACCGGTGGTGTGGCAGCTCCCTCACCACGTTTTGACTTAGCTGCCACCCAGATGTGGTATACTGTGTCTGGGTATAGATTGCTCAGAGTGTAAGAATTGATGGCAGGAATGGTGCGGTGGTACTGCTGCTGGGTAAAAGTGTCATTCCAGTATAACTCGTAACCAATAACACTCTCGCCCGAATGTTCTGGATGGCTCCATTGTAGCTGGACTGTTGTGGATGATGTCGATTTGGCAAGTAAGTTCGATGGTTGACTTGGCACTGTTTATAGAAGAGCAATAATAGAAAAAAAGTTCAATAAATATTTACACATGATAGTGATATAAATTTACTTTCAAGAAAATACAAATAACAAAAATTATATTATTATACAGCAAAAATTCTCTTTGTTTAATTATTTTGAGTAGTATGTGTACATACCTCCTTGTTGAGTTTTCACTTGTACAGGGGCAGATAATGGACCAGATCCTCTGCTGGTAAATGCTTGGATCCGGATGGTGTAGATGGTCTGAGGTGTCATATCACTGATTGTTGTAAGTGTACTGCTATCAACATTTTGAGTGTTCCAGTTGGTTGTAGGAAGGTTGGGACGTGTCGTAAAATATACTTTGTATCCCTTTAAACAGTGATGTATTAGTATCACTAGGGGTAATGAAATGTTGTATCTTGTAAATCAATACAAGTTGTTATGAAAGTATATTCTTTACTACGAATTATAAATATTGTTATAAATTCTTGAACTATTTGTTTTTAAATAAACAACCTCAATATGTGATACATTTCCTTTAAAATTATATAATTTCTTATTCAAATTGTTTTGAAATTTAAGAAATGGATTTCTCAGTTTGAGAAGCCACAGAAAATCAATAATGTTTTAAGAAGAATCTTCATTTTAATCTCTTGGACTTGATACCTGGTATCAGTAAAATTTTCACCCCTGGTATCAGAAGAAATACAGTAGCAAATCTTGTAATAATCTAATATATCAACTGATCCCTGAGGGTACTAAGTATTAGAATAAATAAGGCCACAATAGTAAAAATTCAAAATATCTGTATCCCTGAAGTTAAATCATTCACTAGTTCCTGACATCGCTTAAGTCCCTGATGATAAGTCCTACAGTCTACATTACCAGATAGATTATAATGTTAAATCCTCAGTTATTTTCTAGTATTACCATCATGTGAAGCTGTGATCAATAGACAAGCTTTTATACTTACCGTAACTTGTCCATTAGGTTCTTTAGGAGGGTCCCATTGTATAACTACTGTACTTGAGCTTAAAGGACGAGCTTGGACGTTCCTCGGGGCACTACCAGGTTCTTTAGGATAGAAAAAAAAAGCAAGAGCATGATTCTTCATGATCACAAAAAATATTGCAAACTATCCAAATTGTGGCTAGAATAAGCTTATGTGACAATTGGAACTCAGAAAACACATACACACATGCATACTGATAAATATTTTATAGTTCTAATCGAAATATATCCTTGTTTGATATATAAAACATAAAAGTGCAGGTGAAATAGTAACAGAACTAGACTAGGATATAATTTCAATTATATAAGGCACATGCCCATATCCAAAACTGATGCAAACAAGTACATTCTGATTAAGAGCCATAGCATTTAATTAAAGTTACATTGATAAGGACAGAAAAAACATACAATAATAAGTTTCTTAAATACATATATATATATAGATGTGTACTTACGTTTTTTTTTTATAATAGGCCTTTTAAGTCATTATTAGGATTAGGCTAATCAGCTTAATACTGGTCTACCATCACAACAATCACAGTGTAATTGCCTGTAAACCTATTTATAAAAAAAAGAAAATGTGAAACTCTCATTTATTAAATAAGTCTATACTGGTACACGTGTAAATACACTGGTACACAGGTGTTATTATAAGACACAGAACTATTTGTACAAAACACTTGTGAATATAATATTTTATTCACCTGTTTTAAGCATGAGAGACATTTCAATTATTTCTTTCAAAAACAGACTGTAAATATTTAACAATTCTGCTATACAAATTGATGACGAGGAACCCACTTTGAGACTAATAATGGTTGGAGACGGCTTGAATGGGTAGTGAAGAAAACTTTAATATAAGTTTAACATAACAGCAAATGCACAACGATGATGACAAAATCTTGTCGAAACGTTGTACATTTGCTGTTATGTTAAACTTATATTAAAGTTTTCTTCACTACCCA